ATGAACACTCCCAGGACACACGTATTTAGCCATTTAGGCAAGTGCTAATTAATAATACAAAAGGGAAAAAAGTTTTTAAAGCCACCCGCACAATCCAAAATTACTATCTTTCCTTGTTTTGTAAATAGATCAAGAGTAAGTTCAGAAACACACGCCTGTCATTTTTGTTTTATTTAAAGGTAAAATATAACTAATATTACAGGAAACAAACTGGGTTCAATCCTTAGTTGGTACAAGTTCAGGTCAGTGTAGCTTTAAACCATCTAAGGATCTAGCTCACTAATCTACTCCCCCCTGCACCTAGCCCTGCAAAATCTCTGTTATTTGACAGGGTGGATTTTCTGTTATGTTGATTGCGATTGTTTTGATACTTTAAAACCTTTTAAACCCTTGAAAACAATCAATTCACTTTCTGGTTCGTGTATCTGTGTTCTGTGAGCAGTGTAGGATGTTAGTTTTTCTCACATCTTTTGCTGTTTAGCAGTAGCTGTGTAAATTAAGAGCTAAGTTTTAAAGTTTCCATCTCAGCCTATACAACCACATCCTTTTTTTACATGTGAACTGCTAAGTCACATCCCAAAATCCCACAAAAATGAGCCTTTTGTCGAGAAAGATTTCTGGAGATTTCATTTTACAAACACAGCATCTAGAAATAGAAGAATATTTCTCCTCAGATCACAATACTTAGAGATGCATATTTAGAGCCAAAAGACAGTACATTCCTTAAACTGGTCTGGCTGAATAGAGGGTCCCAAACACAAACAGCCGTTACACAGCAAGTCCCAGCAGTAAAGCCAAAGCAGCAGGAGCTGGTAAGCCAACAGATGGGAGTCTCTCAATTGAGAGAAGAAAATGAGAACAAGTATTACTTTACTTGACTGCTGCTATGGAGATTATTTCCTGTGGGACTTCCTTTGCTTGTTTTATTGGGGCACAGGAGGGAGAATTTGTTGGGTTTTTTTTGTTGAAATATTTTTCCAGTTACAGTAAGATATACAGCCATTAACATGCAATCTTTTTTCCCAACCCAAAAGTAAACCATTTACTGAACATTGTCTAGATATTTTAACTGCATTCATTATAGTGTCTAAGCACCTCATGCGTTTGTTAGGGGAGATGAAAGAGTCTCTAGGACAGCTGGAAGCCCTACTTCCCTTTTAGCAGGCAAGTATTTTCTCTACAGCTTTTATAATACAAACTGCTTGAAGCTGTTTGTCTATGGATATTTTACTAAATCCTACCAACTACATTTCTGAATCCACCTGCAAAACAGCATGCATACTTCACCCTCATGCTGCCACTCTTTGGCTGATTGGTTTTCATAGTGTAGACGACTTGGGGAATAGTTTAATGGATTGTATGAATACACTTCTGGTACATACATTTCATTTATTGTATGACAATTGAGAAGAATTACAGTTCCAAATATGCAGAGCTAAGACTATGATTAGTAAGTATCAAAAAGATACATCCTTCACTGCCTGTTTAACTCTACTGGGGATGAAGCTATTTGCATCACAGAGAAATAGCACTTAAACAGCCTGAAAACGAATTTGAGCTTAAAGGGGCTCTGCTCAGAAAACTGTCCAGTTTCAGATCAAACAGAGGATTAGGGAACTCGCTTCAATATAAAAGCTATGGCAACATGACAATATTGAGTTACATAATGTAACTAATGTAGTACACTTACATAAAGTCTGTAGAAGAAAATACAGAACACACTGGCATTTTACTTTGCCTCTAATAGAAGGTTACAATTCTAAAACTTTGTTGGTAAATACATTAAAAACCACAATAATATCTCGACGTCCCCAAATCAGACGTTTGTATTACAATAAATGAATTTGCAATGCACACGTTAACAGGTTTCACAGAGGCCAAAACTGTAACTTGTCTAGAGCACCAACGTTAGAGAATTCGCCTTTGATTTGTGTTTTTATACAAGATTCACACCTGAAAATTTCTGTAATTAAATGGCTGTGTGCAAACACCACTTTTTTTTTACCTCATTCTCAGTTAAGGAAGCTGAAGGAGATGAACTCTTGCTAAAAGCAAGAGTTGAAGATTCTGCTGCTGAAGCCCGATTTCGCTTCTTCAGAGGTTTACATGCATCAGACAGATTTTTCGTTGCTGTAAAATAATTTTGGTTTACAAAGTGAAGTTTGGAACTTTAAAACGTTATCTCCCTGAAGCCATTTAAAATATTCCTTCAGATAAAGGAAGGAAGGATTTAGGTAGGTCTTCTGGGCACCTACGTAGGGCTGAGAGAATACGAAGTAAGTTTCTGATACCATGTGTTTTGACTTAATTTTAAAAACAAAGAGGTTTCCAATAATCAAATATGTACTACAAATGTCTAAGAAATGTTTTCCCAGGGTTTTTTTGGCTCATTTCTATTAAAATCAAAACATCTTGTGACTTATGACCTCTTTAAAGCAGAGGTAACAGTTATCTCCTCAGATAAACATTAGAAGGCCTACGGGATCTCATCACAATCTGAGTACCGCTAACACTTTGTTAAGAGAAAGGTTATATACGGGAGCCAGGTACCAGATATTATCCATGGCACGTCACCACTTCTACATTGTGCAGAACTTGCTGAAGCTTACTCGTCTTTCGCATATCATTATAACACCTGAAGAGAAATGCTCTTACAGAAGTTACCTTAAACTTGAGCATCAGTGACAAGTCTGACTTTTGGATTTCGGTCCAAAGTTATTCAGAATTCCCTCTCGTGCTCCACACTGCCTCCCATCAAGCATCATTTAAAAGGACTAGAACACACAGTAACTGATTACATTGATGGTCACTGCACTTGTTTTATTGGGCTAATGCACAATGACAAACTGGAGCAGTAGGATTTGTATCACCGCTCCCCAAGATCACAGGGCAATAGCTTTAATTTGGTGCCATCAAACGGTGAACTTGTGAACTGCTGCTCTAAATCAGCAATACACAATTTCAGTCACGTATAATGCTGCAAAATGGTGGTAGTGAAGGAAGAGGGCATGCTCCCCCCACCCCATCTGTGGCATAGTGGCCGTAACTGGTTATTGCGTCAGCAAAATTTAGCCGGCTGCCTCAGACAACCTGTTTGCTTTAAAATTATTTAATTGAAAAAGTTACATTAAAACTTATTCTGACCACATTACCTGACTGGTTCTTTTGTGAAGAGGAGGTTTCTGTGACCTTAGAAGAGTTTGTTTTTGCTGTTTTGTCAATGCTTGTCTCCCTCTGTCACAAAAAAAAATATGAAAAAATAAAAAAACTCCTAATTTATGAGTGGTTGGATAAAACTGGCAATTACTTCTGGATTTATGCTATCAAAAAGAAAGTGTCTTTACAAATATCTGAATGGTAATGTAGCTAGCCCCATTTAAGTGATTTTTAAAACTCATTTACAGCACAGGGTACAAACCCGTAAACAAATGAGAAAAATTACAGAACACAGTATTCCAGCATCCCACTTATCCATCCCAAACTCAGCATACCAAAAAGGGGAGCTCTAAATGAACATGAAACATGTAAATTATCCTTACTATTCTTTGTCTAAACTGGTCAAATTAAAACCTTTAGTTATCAAAGGTAAACTGCAGAACTAGTATATAAATTTGAGAATGAACCCTGTGCAGAATTTTAAGTCTCAGAGAGGCTTGCTTTCAACTCCACAACTTATAGCAGTGCCATTTTTTTAATTACTATGGTTAAGATTGTTTCAGCATTTCCAAAATAAAACCACTACTTTCAAGGGAGCATAAACAACACATCACTTTGCTCCAGATCAAGAATTTATCATTAAAAGTTTAGGCCGAAATCTGGGGAAGTTTTTATCAAAATCAGACATTGTTCCTTACACATACCACTATTTTTTTTTCTTTTTGTACGTTACAAATTCATTCAAGTAGTAAGTCACTAAAATTGTAGCTCAGAATGCTTAACCCTGACAAATGCTCACCTGATCAACATGAATAATTCTACGCACAGATGGTTTTACATACTTTTTCATATTCTTCATCTGACATTCAGTTTTACAAAAATTGTGCAGGTGAACACCTCAAAGGCCAAAGAACTGGTTTCCTTTGCAAAAATAAATATGAATGGCTACTGTACTACAGATGTGCTACACTGTGCCTTTTTACTGACCTCTAAGTAGACCAAGACACCCCACCACTAATGCCACCTGAGGCTCCCAGTATCAGTTTTGTAAGATTACTGTTACGCTTCTGTGTAAAAATGAAGCAAAAAAGTACAGTACTGTTCACTCTTAAATTTAAAGCATGCTTCACAGAACACCCATTTTGTTACCATGCATTTTATATACATCATGAAAGCACTGATGAATGAATTAGTTTTTCACAACTTCCATATACTTAGGATTTAGTTACTTTGTGCAAAAACATCCAGATTTCGTAAATAAGAATTAAGAACAAGAAGGAGAGGATAACGCACAACTCTCATGCAAGAAGTAATATGTCATGGAAAAAAGTCATTAAAGCTCCTCCTACCCAAAATGATTGTAACAAAAGCCTGCAGGTAAACTGGGAGTAGCAAAAGGAAGGTGTACGGTTAGTGTTTGCTTTTCTGAATCATTACATGACATTTTCACTGTCATTCACCAAACATTTTACTAAGCAGCAGCACATATAGCTAGAAGTACCCTGGGCTGGTGAAGGCAGGAAAAAGACTAAGAGAGAATTCATAAAAGAAACTGCAAAGCAACCATTTTATAGTATCTGACCCTTCCGTGGACAGAAGCACAAAACACTGCTATATGCGTTTAGAGCTTCCAAATTACCTAATATTTACACACACAGGTTTTTTGAGGCCTTCTATCTAGTTCTGATAAACAGCTCAGACAGAGGACAGCACTTTTTAAACATATGTTACTAAGTCGGTGTTATTAGTGTTAAGTGTTTTATGGGAAACATTTACCTCATTTATTTATTTATTTTCCTGTCAATGTTCCTATCTGCGTCACAGCACCAAAGATACCAAAACCTCCTCTGCGTGAACTGTACTGCAACCACCTCTCATTCTACTTGTGATAGTATAGGCTAAATGTAGTGTACAGATGCTTGTGGGACAGTGAAGAAGTAACTTTAGGGACAGTCAAAACAAGAACCTCATAGCAGTAATTAATTACAATAACTAAACTTAATTATTCCATGGATCTAGTGTATTATAGTGAATTCAAATCAATCAGACAGGTTTAAAAAGGGCCCAAAACCTTCTCCTAGAATGTAAGATGAATATTCAGCAACTAACCTGTTAGAGCAACAAGTGCAAAAACCAATTTCGGCCCTTCTTTCTGCAAAGGTAACAGTATTTCTCTAAGAATTACCTTTGTCCCCTTGCTAATAAGCTCATTAAGCCTGGCTATCTGAAATTCTATTTATTTTTTATATTAACTCAAAACAACTTGTCTGATTATCCACAGTATCATCAGAGGTACTAAAATAAACAGCCTACCAAACAAACTGACACCTACAAATTTGACCTCCATAATTCATTTAAAAATAAATGCACTACCTTTCCTTATATTAGGTTGTTTCACTTAGTCGCTGTATCACTAACGTCCTGAGATAAGGCCTGCGACACTCACACTACAGTATGATACTTGTATCATAGACACACACATATCTGAAAACACTTGTGAGCTAAGCTTTCCACACAAATAAAACCCATGAAGTTCACTGGTCTACATGCATGACTAAATAAACCCATGCTTAAGTCTCTACAAGATTTGGGTTGTATCCATATACATAGTTTTAGTGACCTATGTAAGGAAAATTCTCATTCTCACAAGCAAGCTAAACTGAAAAGGAGCCCGTGACTTCTGCGATGAATATACTGTAATATTTACTGCAGTTTCCTGACTTAAGAAATGGGTCAGCATGCGACTCTAAAATGTTCTACAGGCTCCCAGTTCTTGAAAAGCAGGTTTTCTGGTCTGCTTTACTTGCTTTCCTCTCTCCCCCCACTTTCGCCTAAATCAAGTACTGACTAAAGATTTATTTTTTTTTTTTACATTCTTGTATACATCTCTGAACTCCAGGAGGAAAGAACAAGAACTACAAAGCATGACAACATGGAAGGGTCATGCCGCTGCACATTCCTTTGGGAAACAATGTTCTCAGCATACATTTTCACCACAGTTTAAGGAGCAAGTGCAACCTGTCATACCTCCATCCTCACAACCAAAGAAAAACACCCCCATAGCAGTAAGCTCACATGTATCTCTGAATATTTACAACAGTTTGGTTTGATATACAGGCATTACTTTTTCAATCCTGAAAATGGAAATGCTGACAAACTTAACTACAGCAACGTGACTGGTGCTGCTATAAATTAACCCAAACAAACCAACGACATAATTACCTTCCGATTATTCTGTTTATCCATCCTGAGTCTTTTCCTAGGTGCTTCCTGAACTTCAAAATCTTCAGTAGGTTCCTTTGTCCTCTTTTTTTGGTTTCTTTTATTTCCATGTAAGTTACCTTGGGATGGGGGATGGGGGAAACTTACATGAAAAATAATCTAAAACCCACTTTCAAATTATTTTGAACTGATCTAGTTATTGAAGTTACTTTTCTCTCAGTCATTATTTTTAAAACATGATTAAACATTAACACAGTTTGATGACCTCTTAACGCTTAAGGTCTGGGTTCTGGTGCTGAAGACTAATGCTAGAACACATCCAAATCAACTGCTTCATACTCAAGTTATTTTAGAAAGATCAGTCTACCTGTATAAGCACTAGTTTAAGATCTGAATATTACTGCCCAACATTTGTTTCATATTGTCAGACTGCACATGATTGATCTATACAGCTTTTAACTCTCCTGCCACTTTGTAACAGTGTCTTATCACGGAAATGCATTTTTAAGTCTCCTCCTCAAGTCTCCTTTAAGTTCTCCAAATGATACAGATGAAGATACTGGCGACATCTATTAAGGGACCTCTGGAAAAGAAAAGATATCACCAACTGCACAGATTAATTCTCTCTTTCTGGTATGGCAGTTCTGGACACTCTCTATTAAGCTTACTTATACTTTACAGGAGACTAAGATCCCCTTCCTTTGTGAACCAAAATCCTAAGAACAGAATCATGTTGGTCATTTTAAACCGATGGACTTATTCACGTATTTAGATGATTGTTCACTGTGAAATTCAAGCAGCTGCCAAACTGCAAAAGGTCAGTGACTAACCTACATAACCCCTTCCACAGGTTCAGCTATTGTTTGCACTCGCTCTACCTCAAAAGGACAGATGAAGGTTTAGGAAGCGGTCTGTTTCATCAGGATGAAATGACAACATCATTACACTCGCCAGTACTCTCTAGTTTACGAAGCTACAGAGTATTATTAGTATGAAGATTGCAAGCTCCAGGGGCACAAACATGTTAACTGAAAATTGCCCTACAGCTACAAGCATTCTATTCCAGTGGGAACAAATAGCTGTAAATATTAAAAATATAGCAATGGGAAAATACGCATAATTTTCAAATTAATGTTCTTATCTAAACAATCTAGGACATTTTCTATTATCGGACTCTGAATCCACAAAGCAGACTGAAATGGCTCCAGGAGAACCTGCTACTTACAAAAAGCCAGCAAAAGAAATCCCACAAAATTCTTCCAAGTTTAAGATAAGAAGATTTGGGTAGGGGAACAATTGAACTGACATGTTTTATCTGTAGGTAACTATAAATGTACACAATATATGTACTAGAAACACCTGGTACAGGTACAATTTCAATTACATTTCTTGCAATATGACACTGAGGAAGGTGAACAAAATTCAGCACTACAGTGTTTAGATATTTAATTTGGGATCCATTAAAATTCTAACGTCAAGGAAGACAACATCTGAGATAAAATAAAGAGATTATGATACGTGGGCGATTACATAAAAAAATACACTCAATAGCTACTTATAATGATGAACTATTTGCACACAACACAAATCTCAATTACTTCTGGATCTTGATCTCCTTTTAGGTGAGTCTTGAAACACTTTACGTTTGGCCTCTCCAATATTCTTCAATGATGAACCTTGAGAGATACAGAATGTGGTTTTTTTTTAAACTGATATCCAAATATTTGACACTTAAATTTAAAGTTAAAAACTTTTCAATTTTCCACAAAATTATGTTATTTCACACACACACAGATAGTTAACAAAACTGACTGCCATTTTTATACAAGTTTTTCCAAGTCTCACAAACTTTCAAACACTCCCTCTCATTCTTGTCATTGCCCAAAGCAGCACCTGTTGGCTTCTGATACTTCTGTAAGTCTTCTTACAGTGCTGTAAAGCTATTTTAATTTGAAAAATGATAGCTAGTTAAATTTGATAAAGTTCATGCAAATGCCAAACTACATTCTGCCTTCTTTCTCAAATAAGTGACCGCAAAACCCCTCAAATATTTTGCAAAACAATTAAGACTCTTTATCAAAACCAAACGCTAGACAACAGCAACAAAAAAAAAAAAAAAAAAAAAAGGGAGAATAAACACAAACGTATTTGCCATCTTGTACAATGTCCTATAAAATTTGAGTAGCATAATAAAATGCCAAATGGATGAACATTTCAGAACAAAGTTTGGAATACTTCTTCCTGAGTTGATGATGATATGAGGTAATATACTTTAGGCATGTATGACGAAAAGGCGTAGCACTGATTAAGCTTTTTAACCATTTCCTAACTATTCCATAGAAAAACAACTCAAATTTTACTAGTAGTAACACTTCGTCTTCCCTTCCCACCATCCACTCATAACAGGCAGTGGATGCAATGGCAGCTGCTTATGGGCAGAAGAAGAATGAGAAATCAGCAATCTCTAAACAGTAGAAGGTTTACATATAACAACTTTTCAGAACAATGAGCAAGAAATGTAGACTTCATGGGTTGCGTTTATTATAACCATTGGCATTCCTTTGCTATTGGCACAAACACCAAGAATTAAAACTGGAAAACAGTGAAGGCTGTTTTCCATACAGGTCTCAAATATGTGCTTAGTTTAACACCACTATGTATATCAAATTTAGTTAGAGTACACTAGCACAGTTTTACGTTTACCAGAGTCTTCTTCAGATTTGGGAGAGGTCACTATGGCAAACTTTGTGTTATAGCGAGCTTTCTGTTTTTCACTAAGCATGTTCCACTGCGATTCGAGCAATTCTTCAATCTCCTCACTCGAAGCATCTGGATGTTCAGCAACCACCTATACATGCAGAAATAGGGTTGTATTAAAAAAGGTGACCATTGAAAAGAATGGCGTACACACTTCTATTGCTTTGGAAAACTGGATACAAACGAGTTATCTGACACTTCTGCTCTAGAAAGAAATAGATTAAAACCTTCTGTATCCAGTTTTCTTCTTTGAATAACCACTTCTCTCTCTCAAAAATACCTATTAGCATACTCAGAAGTATTAATTTTGGAAGTATATATTTGCCTTTTAACATCCAAAAAACGGAGTAAGTATAAATTTTGTCTTGTGATCACTTAAAAAAAAAATAATTGTATTTTTTCTTGATGAAGTTTAAATCTATACCACAAAAGATGGACAAGCCATACTGGAATATATGCTTGTCTACAAAGACATCCATCAATTCATAGGAGCACTCATTAAATATAGAACTTATTACACCTATCTTAGCAGGTTAACATCTGAAGCAACATTTTCCAGTATTAATTCATTATTTTATACTATGCATATGAATATTAGGAACTCAAAAAATGGTGCATCTTTTCTTAAAATACAGGCATGACCCATAATAGCCATCAACATGGAATTTAACAGTTCCTAGGAGTCTATTCTACACCAACAGAAAAAACAGTATTAAAACCAAAGGAAAAAATCCTCCCAAACGCCTTCAGTATTCCCATACTTCTACTTAAGAAAACCCAGATTTGATTATTCATAGAAGTCAGAAAGCTCTAAGGTTGTATGATCTACAGAAATTAAACAGCACCTTTAAAAACAGCACCTCTCATCTCATTAACCAGCATTCTCCAAAATCCTATTACTGAGAAGACACAACCAATACCCCAAAATCATGGAGCAAAATAAAAACCAGGCCAACAAAGCCAAGTGTTCAAACAGTACCATCATTCAACAGAAATATAAATTTTCCGTGATAAGTGGAAAAGATTAAACTTAATTTCTTGGAACTTAGTGTCTTAAAATTGCATTTTATGTTGTCAAACAGGATACAAGTGTGACTGAAGCTTCTCCAGAGGTTAGAATAGTTGTAGTACCTTCCTTCCATTTGGATTATTCAGTCTAGTAGGGAAATTCACTCTGTAATTTATCCCCTAGTAGAGTACTAAGAGTTCTCTTGCTTCTGTCTAGTATGACCCATCTGCGTAAAGCTGGAGAATACAAGGAGCTCTGGAGGCCTCTACTCAAAGTTTGAAATCCAACAATGTGAAAAAAGTGACTGAGAGGGGAGAATGTAGACAGACCCACAAAATACCCCTCCCACAAATTTTATTTCTTTAGGAAAAGAAATTAGCATCAATTTTGACCACTGCCACTAAGTGTATAGTTCATTGTGCTCAACTAGGGTACAGAGTTATTTAATTCTCCAAGAAATAACTAGCTTTGGTCGCACAAATAAGATACAGTTTAACATTACCGCTAGTCCCACCAAAATATGAACAAAACCAACTTTCAGCTCACTGGGAACACTGTGAAATGAGAAGCAAAAGACACTCATGGTTCTTAATGGTTAAGTGATTCTTGCAAAGGCCTCCAAAGAAAACGTCCAGCAGTTTTCTCTGAAGTCTCCATGCTGTAATACTCAGTCCCAGCATACATACTGGAAATAATGTATCGGATATCTTGACGTGCATGAAAACCATGCACTTTTCACAGGTACTTATTCTAACTATGCTGCAGAACACATGGAAGATCTTTTCTTGGATCTGGGAATTAGTATCACTATAGGTGTGGAAAACATGGTAATTAGACCAGGCACATCCTGGCTCATCCAAGCAAAGCGTATTACCTTCGCTCTTGCTTGTCTTGATATTCAAAAACTCTTTATACATGTAGAAATCTTGAATTATAAACCCTACTAGTGAAATTATTTCTTAATTTACCTCAAAACAGACTCAAGGCCCAAATCAATGAATTAATGCAAACAGCGTATCTGTCTGCCTCTCACTGAATGGTACCTTTACCTCAAGTCGTATGCTCCCTTCTAGGGATTACTATGGTTATATTTCACGGAGGGACATAACAATGCCAGTAGTGCAAAACATATCTTTACTCCTTTGGTAACAGTACAAAATACTTAATGTGCCACTACAACCATGAAAGTGCTCCAAGCTTTCAATGCTTCCCTCAGCGGAGCATGCCTTTTAAATTATAACAAACATTTTCCAGCAGTTCATCCAGTTTTCCAGCAGCCATCATTCATTTCTAAAAATTTAAACTATTCCTCACCCTCCTATCCCCAGAAAGAGTAATACAAGAATTAGTAATTAATAAAACCAAACTGATGTATGAATCCTACTACTGTACAAAGCTGGACTCCAAGCAAGACACAGCAGAAACAGCTCTACTTTAAGGGAGCTCATGGTTATCACAGGCCCCAAAAGAGAAGTCTTCAGTCATTTCTTTCCATTCATTTCCATCCCTTCCCAAGTCTAGGGGCCAGAGAACCTCTTCTGGATCCACTGTTTTCCTTTCTTCTAAGTTTCTACATGCAGTTACTAAAGTCTCCACACACTAAACTCTCAGATGCCACCAATACAAGTACCTCAAGAACAAGTCTATTTTTTAGCCAACATTATCACTCCTTCTAAAAAGTCAGAAAATCTACAACAGGAACAAAACAAACTCTTGGATGGAAAGCAACGCACGCAAATTGAACCAAATAAGCCTAACAGAAGGAGAAACTCCAAATACTAGTTTGGACACAACCTCCACCCTCCACTGAAGGCACAAAATTGCCATTTTAAAAGCGACGTGACAGGCTGGAAATGTGAACTAAACTAGGGTAACTTCGGTTCTCTGCAAGATGCATGAATTACCCAAAATGGCATTTCCCCACTTTGCCAGTTAACTTTGAATCCAGAGAAAGCAGAGACAGGTTCTACTGCCCTGATCGGTTAGAGGGACTGTTATCTGCAGTTTCCTGGTATCTGCAGTTTTCAGAAACTAGTTCTGTTCTATGCACAGAAGTGCTTCTGTACCTGTTAGAATCCACGCAATCAGGTGGATTTGCATTTTCATGACTGATCTTATTAAAAGGTATTCTAGGAAAAAATGGTAAGATGTCCTCTCTCTAAATATATGTAGTATTTTGAAGCTTCCTTCCTTCTACTAGCCACTATCAATGTGATTTTCAAGTTTATCAAGTTTTTCAGTTTCCTGAAATGACACTGAAGACAAAGTAATGCCTCAATGTGAAATATTGTAATAGTCTTCATATATTCCATCTATTAATTTGAGAATTACAATATAACCATAGTAGGGAATGAAGCTTGCTAACTGTCACAGAAAATAGAAATGAAACATCAGAGACTCAGCATGTCTCTTCTGTGGTAAGATATGTTTGTCTAAGACTCCATAAAAACAGTCATAATAATCTCATTTCTTCCAGAGAAATAATTTCATGTCCCTCAATATTGCACAAGACTTCTTGCTACCTACGTTAAAGGCCAAGGAAATTCCCCCTTGCCACTATACAAGACACAAGGTTACTTACAGAATTGGAAATAGAACTCAGGTCTCTCAAACATAAGACAGATGATTTACCCATAGAGCTTTTCATAATGAATATGTCAAAATCTATATTTAATAGTCTCACTACAAAACTCTTTCCTTTCTTGAAGGAAACTGAACTGCTAATGCTTTTCTCAATTTAACCAAAGCCACTAGAAAGTATATGTAATGTTGTGTTCATTTTCATTATCAATATTAGCTTGAGTTGCAATGATCTAAAAAGATCCTAATCTGCACCACAACTAATTGATTTCCATACAACAGAATCTGTTTTTCAATTTTTCTTTATAAAGTTCATATCTATTCATGTTTTCTAACACAAATATCCTATAATCAGTCAACCATTCAGTATCTAAAAAGCGTGACAAAGTCACCACCAATTTTCTGGTCCTTCTGTGGCTATTATGGAATAGTGCAACTTCAAGAAAATATGAAAACTCATGCTTCTTTCAGTGCATGGAATTGTACTGCAAACAGAGTAGAGGGTTTTAAGGAAGAAAAATTACGGTCATGACTTTAAATTAATGAGCTAGAACAGCAGTACTGCTTTTATACTTCTAACAGTCTTCCTAAGAAATGTTGATATTGAGGTATTTACTTATTTATTCTACCTTTTCTTGGGGTGTAATCCTCTCAAGAGGAGAGTTTCTGTCCCAGCAGATTGCACATTGACAGTGATTTTCACCAGCTTTGGTAACTAGCTTCTTTTGAAGCTCAAAAAAAGATCCTCGGTAGGTAAACGGAGTTTTTGAGGAGTTCAAAGACAAGGGAACATGTTGAAGGAACTGAGCCACATCTTCAGAAATAATCTACAAGCAGATTGCCATAAACAGCATAACCTGCCTGAGCATATCTATGCGTATCTACTGTATTTTACATATATTTTAAAAAATCACGGCTAATACAAAGGACTACTAGATTATGTAGGAAGGTACTAACACGACTCATGCTTAAAGTACAATGGTATCATCACTACCTTGTTTATATTGCTCATCTACATTCCCTTCTTTCTCTGCTCCTGATGCAGGCGTACCTTGTCAAGGCCAGAGTACTATGGATTCTACAGCAACAATTAGTTTTTGTCAACTGAAGTAAAGGAGTTTCTTTAAGTACAGAAATGACAAGAGGCAATCAACAACAATAACAGCTAAAAGAGACTGACCTCATCTCTGTGCTTCTGACAAAAGACCAAAAACTGAGATACTGCATCGCCCTTTCTGCTTCGCGGAGTAGATGCTGGAGTTTTCTTTCTATTGAGAGGGGAGCCTATCCCTCTTTTGGATTCTGCCTGTTCCGATGACTTTTGAGGAGTAGTGTTCTTAGTCCCCGACTGACTGCTTTCTTGCGTATCATCAGTGGCAGGCAATTTTGATGTCCTTCTCCTCCTCTTGTTGGGAATGCCAGACTCCTTCATCGATTTCAGATTTTGAGTGGTTTCTTCGTTTGAGTAAGATGACTCATCAATCTCCTCTAATGGTTCCACAGCAATGCCAACTTCCTTGGCTACTCGAGGATTAAGATGAGGTCTGTCCCTGACATAGATGAAGGTGTACTTGGCCTTCCGTTCTTCCACTGTCATGCCTACCGCTTCGCTTGCTTGCTTAACACCCATCTCCCACTGTGGCCGCAGCTTCCCTGAAACAGGCTTTAACATCTGCAAGATAAGATGACAGTGTGAGAAATTTGCCCGCTTTGGATTTCAAAATGCCAACGTTAATACAAAGCAATTCCAAGAGACTAAACGTAATGTATAATTCTAATTCAGACGTTCAAATGGAACTAATACCATACATGAATCAGTGGCAAAGCAGAAAAGCACTGATTTTTATTAAGTAACCAACACTGGTAGATCATCCCATTCTTTGCATCTGTAAGTGACATACAAGACTACAAGCCTCTGTAAACCAAACTGTCTTTAAAGCTTTCTAGAGTATCTATCTACGCCTGTACATACCTGTAACAGTAAAATAAAAAGCTGCAAATCTTGTCTACCTTGGTAGCCTCTTACCTTTATTTTCTCCGCTTTAGTGAGGGCTTGTTTTGCACTTTCCTGGCATAATTGTTCAAACTGGTCTTTTTCTTTGAAGGGCACAAGGCTCTTCTCAAATATCCAGGCTCGCTCTGGGGCATCTCCAAAAAACTGAACATGATATTGACGAAAACTCTTTTTCTGTCCTGAAAATTAAAAATTAATGTATTAAGATACAACTTAGGTTGTTCTCCACACTTTCAGACTTGAAGTCTTTGGTAACCTGCTAACGTTACCGTGCTGCCAAAAGCACAATACAATTGTTTAACCTTTTAAAAACCCACTTAACCAGCCTGAAAGTCTCTGAGTTATAATCTATGAAGTCTGATACAAAAGCCTATTAGTTTAATACCAAACAAGAATATGCTTTTGCTAAATTAACTTAAGGTTACAATCATCTGTGAGCCCTTTCCACGTATACTAACTTACACGTAGGCCTGGATGGGAAAACGTTTCTAAAGCTTGGATAGCCTGTATACTCAGTCTCATCTCTGATTCGCCTAAACTTTATCTTTTAATATTCTTGAACAGAAATACATACTTCAGCTAGTTTTAACACTGGCAACCACAACTTCACCTTAACCAAGCTTTTAAGGAATCAAAGCAAGAAATAAAAAGTATTTGGGTGGTGGAAGGGAGAGCAGGAACGTGAGAAAACAATTCTGAAAAAATTGTAAAGAGGAATACTGTCTCACTGTAGTAAGATACAGGCATACAACCTTCCCCTTCTAAAGACCTCAGCTATTCCACAGTGAAGGGGAAAGACAACACCTTCAAAATTCACCAAAGAGTTCACAGTTAACAACAAACTTCTATAAGGCAGAGGCAAGAGAATCAGCCTTAAGATGTCCTCTAGCATCTCCTTCATTAAAACTTGCAGATTTGTTGCCTAAGTGTTCAAATTAGGATCTCATTTAAAAATAGAAAAGGTTTTAACTGTGGTGGACTACACTTCTGTGTTTGTAAATTCAATCCTGCTAGAAAAGTCAGTTACCACCCCTACAGTATCTATGGTTCTTCAAGGTGTCACCACATTAGTATGTCTAACACGGAGTCTGGGAGGAAGAGGAAATCGGGTTAAGGATGTCTACCCAGTAAGGACAAATAAGTAAATCACAGTTCTCTGTTACAGATGTCTTCAAACTAAGTCTAGATTTTGCTAGTTATTTATATACTGCATGTCTTCTACCTTAATCAGCGAATACATCTAGCTGATTGCTTCATGCACTACTATTACTGGGGTTTCTAGGCTTAGAAAGGCCTTTCTTTTCCTAATTACTCAGCCAATAGCTATTTTTAAAGCGGCTTGATCTTGTCTCAAGATGTGGCATCTGGAATGGTAATATGAAATCAACCTAATCAATGATATGTGTGTAAGCATTATTGACGATTACACACACACACACATATATATATGTATGTATTTCAGGACCACTACATACATAGCTAAAAAACACACGCGAGCTACAAGAACAATAATGACTCATCTGAGATGAGAGATGAGAATCTAGAAGAATGGCATAGGGAAAGATCTTGGGATTGTATGCATGACACATCCAATCCAATAGTCTAATACATGTTTCGGTAATGCAGTCAGGAGCAATTCTCTTGCACACTAGTTATTTTGTCCTCATCAAGAAAACACTGCTTAACTAGGGACTACTGAGCTCCGATGACTTAATCTGTCTGTGATGAAATAAAGGATAATTTCTGTATTTTACCAGGATGTCCTAGCTGCAGACAGAGATGGCACAGACTACATTTACAACCACCTGTAAAGATCTGCCTCTGAGCAACCAACATCCCAGTTCCAAGCAGATACAGACACTCCATTCTTTTCAAAATATTATGCTGGACAGCTGTAACTGTCTAATTAAGGAGTGTAAATAGTGCCTACCACTAGAATCATTGAACCTATTTGTGAATCTTCACATATCTTCTGTGAGCTGAACTGGTATCAATGCCCGTGGATAAAATAATGAAATTCATTAAGGGTTGTTATATACAGAGACACAACTTTTGGCTCACAGAATCCTGGAACCACTAGTTATTGAAGGTTTGGGAGAGTCTTCTGGGGACCCACCACTATTATTTTCTTTTTCTTTACCCTAGCATCTGTGGTTCACCACAGTCAGAGACATGATACCGACTAAGATGGAGCTTTAGTTTGACTCAGTATGGGCCTTCTTACATGAAAGTGTACATCCCTTTTCTCAAGCCTAATTGGTGAGAATGATGAAATCAAGTATTAGCATCCAGAAATTCAGATTGTTTATAAACACTGTTGATCCTAATCCTAGAAATGAGAAATACAGAGACCTAGCTGAGTATTTCTACAACTCCCAGATAAATGAACTATTCTGTTTGGACAAGGAGACTTTTCATAGTGCTTCAATAGCAAACAGTAGGTGGAAGATAATACAAGACTGGAAATACTGATGGAAATACGCACATCAGTGTTCATTTATCAGCCATGGTGGCTGCCCAGACCTAGTCAAACCTCCTGAAGGAAGAGGCAGGCCCCAAGCCAACTCCAGAGCAAGTATCAGAAATGACCATCACCCATATTCCTTCTAACAGATAGAAGTTAACATCTCAAAGTATGTGGGCCATTCTTCCTGTTAATACTCCACAGGTTGCATTGAGACCTAAGACACTGCGTTTTGCTAGATCTATTTCTATAGTTCCTTATAAAAACCTGGCACAGAGATTCTTGATAATGAATCATAAACCTTGCTCCTTTCAAGGAGTAGAGTAATTCAGTCAGGAACAAAAAAGCTCCTTTATTTCTCTGAAAATCCATCTCTTTACCTCGTAATAGACCTAATAATCTAAAGACTTGCCTGATCAAAACTCTGAAAGATTACTACAAGAAAAAATTGTCTGAGGAGTCTATAACAGCCATTCTAGCAACCGTATGAATGCTTGAAATGGTTCTCAAGAAGCGATTTAATTTACTATCAACATTGAGTCTACCTATAATCCCAATTGAATTTGTTCTTAAAAACCTCCTATGAATGAGATCACGCCATTTCTCCAGGCAATTCACCCCAATGCTTCACTATCTTTATCCCTTGCAACTTCTTAATGTGTAATCTAAATATTCATTGCTACTTCTTCCCAGAACAAGAAGAGTTTATGCCTTTTCTTCTCTGCATGTAACTTAAAAGTTATTTAAGGCCAGTTATTGGGGTCTCCTTTAGCTCCTCCTTGTCCAATTAAACAGCCCCAGTTCCTTCAGTCTGCTTGTGCAGGTAGACTCCAAGATTTCTGTTCATGCTCAGAACCTTCTCTGATTGCTCCATGTTTCTGGAAATAAGATGGCTCAATCAGGATGAAATGAAAAAAGTACTCGCCATGCTACCACTGGAAAAGCAAATGATCTATTTCAATGCTTTTTATAAACAGCATTTAATTTGTATCAGTGTGACTTTGGCTCTTCTGCAGAGAAAACTACAACGGGTTATTATGACTCTCAGATTCCTTTCTGCGAAAATGCAGCTTTCCACTAATTTCCCAGCCTGATCACTTACCACTGTAAAAATCCAATACTCCTACTAAACTGCCTTTTTTTTTTTTTTTTCAGACCACACCTCCAGAGTGTCAAGATTATTCTGATTTCCAATCCTACATGTTTACAGTCTCTCCACATGGGAAATTTGTAATTCCAATGCAAACTTCAGATGTATATTCTAGTTCATTTTCCAAGTTCCCAAAGCAACCCTTGAAAAACTACATAAAAACAAACCCACATAAACACTCCTTTCCCAGACTTGGAAATACGTAGTTCAAAATTACTGAAATCTCTAGAGACAGGAAAATGCCCTACTCCGTTCATAACAAAGGAAGCCAATATTTTCGCTTGATCTAATAAAACACATGAAAGTATTTAGAAGCATATACATCAAAACAAAGGTATGTGCTCCTACTTTGGATCACTGATATTCCTATTAACTTTTTGTTTTTCTCCTTAATCTCCTCAAGTTTTACGGATTCAGTTTTCAGGTTTTCTAAACTTTCAGTACAGTCTGGCATAACCATAGTAAAAAGTAGTTTACAGCACGCAGCTGGAGTTAAAACTAGTGAGGGATGCAATATGCAGCAAGAAGATCTTCTGTAAATACACAGTAACAAAAGGAAGGCAGGAGACTGAGTGACAAAGGACAGAGGCTGGGGTACTCTACGCCTTCTCTGTCTCAGGGTTTTGTTTGTTTGTTTTTTAAACTGTAACATCTGCCTCCAAGCCTTCAGGTCCCTTAGTCGAGTGATAAAAGCTGCAAGACTGAGGCACTACCCACAGCACACTAAGAAAAAGTCACGGAGCACTTAATCAAATTGGACATCTATGAGATTATGGGACCAGATGGGATGCCTCAGAAAGAGCTGGAGGTGCTAGCCAATGTGACTGCAAGGATGATCACTAGAATTTCTGAAAGGTCACAACCATCAGGGGAGATACTCTATGACTGGAAAAAGGCAAACATTGCATCTATCTTCAAGAAAAACAAGAACAATCTGGGAAACCACAAGCTAGGCTGACTAGCTTACTCTCGATGCCTACAAGATTACGGGGCAAATTCTAAAGGACGTATCCAAGCACATGAGAGACAAGAAAGTGTCTGGGAATAGCCAGCACAGACTCACCAAGGGCAAATTGCGCCCAATCAATGAATCACACAGTGCTAATACAAAAGGCAATGAACACAGGTTGAAACCAAGGAAATTTCTATGAGATAATGGGAAGTGTCTTCTTGCCATAATGGCTACCAGTCACTGGAACAAGTTGCCTAGAAAGGCTGTAAAGTCTCCATCCTTGAAGACATTAAATATTTGACTGGACAAGGCCCTGAGCAACCTGCTCTAACTTGGAGACTATATGACTTGCAGAGGTCCTTTCCAACCTATGTTAATTTATCATTCTACAACCAGGACAGATAACCCGCAAAAGCTTCAGGTTATCAGAACAGAGAACAAAGCTGAAAATGAGATTAAGAAATCATACAGATTCCTACTTCAAAATTTCATTAACACTTGGTAGTCCCCGCATTTAGAATTGATGAATGTTGTCTGTAGATAACAGTATCGATTCTACAAATCACAGAAAATTTAGCTGCCTGAATTACAGATTGCTTTTAGTAAAGCATAATCATCAAGAGCATTTAATTCCCATTAGCCTTCAATAAAATTTTTAGCCCATATTACTTCTCCAAGCATCTCCATAAAAACAATGGAAAGTACCATCAGACAATTTTTTTTTAATAAGACTCCACACAGTTTCATAGATCACAATCTTGGTATCTTTTGGAGAATGTTCAGAGTTAAAAATACACAGTGGAAAAAAAAAAGCTCAGTTTGCTCTACGCTCAAGAATAGTGTTTACATGATTTTAACATTCCTCTTGATAACAAGGAGCTGATTCAGTTACTGATACAACTGAATAAATAAAATGAAGAACAGAATTTTCCCAAAATAAGGGTTCTGTACACCTGAAGAAATCTGGATGTTTGTAGCATTACTGACATACCTTTTAGTTTAGTGTAGGAATGGAGAACGGGATCAGCAGAAACCATACATGGCCACCATGGAAAACCAGACACTTTTGACCACACTAGATCTCCTATATTATACTTCAACAGATGAACTTTGTCTTCTTTGACGGTACTTTGAGTTGGATCTCTCTTAGCAGGAGCCTTAAAAGATAAAAAAAGAAAAAAACCCACCTATCACCATATTTCTTCAGACATACACTAGGATTACTGAATAGCAGACAGAAATAAACACCAAACTACAGTTCATATTCTGTTTAAACATCTTATTGTATGTAAAAACACAGAGTAATAATGGAAGGATGGAAATAAGAAATAGTTCATCAGAATAAAGAGCTATCATGTTCGCTAACAAACAATATTTCATGTGTAATAAAAACTTTAAGTAATAATTTTTGTTCTCTCATGGCCAAAAAATTCCAAGTTCCATTTATGCTTTTGTTTTTAGTTAGAAACATTGGCAAGTAAGCTGTGGTTTGCCTTTATCTTTACGGATAACTGCTGCAAAAACATGAGGAAGCCTTACTTAATTTCAAACACATTAACTGAGCACTGGATGTAGATGTGGAAGAGCCAACCTTCCTCTGTACTGAATATTATTAATCAAGTTAAGCGCTATACACACAAATGTCTTCCTAGACTTAAAAAAAGAAAATAATCCTAAACTACAATAGACTGAAATACTGTCTTTAGGTCTGAATAGAAACTAAAAAATAACCATTTAAAACCCCTCAAACTCTGCATCTTTCAGCTGTCTTCTTACATACTGAGAATTTCTGACACGAACCCTTCCTCACACCCTTTTGCAAGATATTTTTCTGTTCCAGTTCTAGCAGTGAAAGTTTGTCAGTGCTTGGCTGCTGCTTTAAAGCTATTTTACCTACTGGAAAACAATTACAGAACTATCTCCACTTCAAGGGATAGATTTAACTACAAATGAGTTTTATGTTCCCCTACGACAGATACATTTTAACCGCATGACAACAAAGTTTAGCAAGACGGTCACTTATTCACAAGCTAAAACCATTTCACAATGTTAGTTTCGTTTTGTCTTTTTGCCTTCATCTGTTCTATCTGATATAAACAATCAACGCCTTTATCTAGGTCAGAAAGCACAGAATATGTCTCATTACAGATATCTGTAAAAAAAAATATCCACATATTTTTAATTTGCCTTTTTGTTTTTCTAGTACTAAATTTATGTGCAACTTGTTATATTGTTCATCTTGTGTAGTACTAGCTCAAAATACGGAAGGCAGACTGGAGCTTCAGGCTTTCAGCGGCAAGAGGAAAGAAAGAACACTGTTAAGACACCAGGAATCTAGAACGTGGAAACAAGTACTTGGAGCATTATGTTGGATCACAGTAGATCAAGTCACCTTGTACAGATTTTTAAATCCAGAGAATACTACCATAACTAATTACATATTATTTTCCAAACACAAACAACAAGAAGTTTTTACATGCTGCAACTCAAACATAGAGGTACACCCAATCAAAACACCTAAAGCTTAACGTACTCAGAATCTCCTTCCCTCAAAGCTTTTAAAGCTATGCCTGGAAAAACACACATGATGCTATGTCATCTGGTTGTTAGAGACAGTTACTCATCCAGTGATTCAGCTTTTCTGATGAATTCAGACTTGGTTCATGGGCCTCCAGCTAGAGCCATGTTCCCATGTCTCAAGGTTTTTGGCTCTCTAAGGATTCTCTGAGACTGTCAGAAAACCCCTCCCGCTGAGCTTGCCTCAAGTCCAGCACTCTCAATAGACCTAAAAGATTCCAAGCAGATGTGAAAAATCAAATGCTCCTTCTAGCAGTTAAACATGACATAAAAAGTTATGCTTAAAAGCTAAAAATTAAGAAATACATATGCCGAGAACAGATCTGGAAAAACATTAATCCTAACACACACAAACCGACTTCAGCATTTAAACTAAATAGCTGGGATGAAAATATTTTTCAGTAAGTTAACTTTTCAGAAATGCAAAAGTTACTTAGGATTCTGAATCTCATTTTTAATTTATGAGTCCCTGTATTTTTCAGAAAGTGCAACTAAGCTGCAAAGATTTACGACTACAGTCTGAGAGGGAGCTGTCTAGAATAATGAAAAGGCTCTAGCAGTGCTTCATATTGCTGCATAGTCTAAAAGGGGTGGCGGTACAGGGGTGAATATTGCATTTCAATACATCTACAAGCACTTCACAAATTTTAAAAATGCCCAGAATTCTTTTACTATACTGGATCATGACAAAAAAACTTGAAAATGACAGGCTCTGATAAAACCTGCTAAGTTTGTACAACACTTGTTGTATTCATGTTTTCTTTTAGTGATAGAATGTGCATACTTTAAAAGAATGGAAAAATACAGCACAGAATTCTATATTTTTTTTTAAGACCTCTCATATGTGGTTAATTAAAAAACTATAGAAAATATGAACTCACTCACCTCCATCTTATTTTCCCACATCATCTTGTTTAGTTTGATTTTCTCATTCTGGGAATTACTCTGATCTATTTAATAGGCATCTCAACAGTAAACAGTGCGATGAATGGCATGTACTTCTGAGACAAGCAGCTGTAGGACATCAAGAGCCTCTTCAACACTTCCTCTCAAAAACCACCAGCACAGAATTAAATGCTTACATATTTAAATTGTTTAAAAAAATATCAGAAAATGCTAGATACTGGTAGGCAGTCATATGCATAGATTTTATTTCTGTATCCAGGTTGGGTTTTTTTAATTATTGCTGGGATGGGAGGAAGAGAGCATTTCTGAACAAATTTGCCACCCAGTCCCCTGATGGCATCTATGTTCTCATACGATGACAGCAGGAGCTTCTTTAGGAGACACTTGTACTCTCTACAATTTTTAAGAATAGGAAATTACCATTCAAGAAAAAAGTAACTTGGCTCACGGGGTTTTTTGCCCCAGAAGAAAACAGGAATTGTTGTTTAGGCAAATTTTAATTCCTATCAATATGTAGTCAGACAGAGCAGGGCATCTGACTATACACCCATGGAAGATGGAGAGGCAGGACTGGAAGCGCAGTTTTGGTGGTCTGGGCGAACACACCAGAAGACAGGGAATACCTCCTCCTGCAACAGCTGATCAATTCTTTCTGTGATGATACTTAAGCAAGCAAATTAAGACGGGAGACTCCTGGTCTAATGCACAACTGTAAAGCAAGGGACGGTCACACAAAATCAAAACTATTTTAAAATACCTTCCCCTTAAACTTTGGCTCTTTGCGGACTTTTTTTTTGGACAAGTTTTTATTTCTTGAAATTGTTCTCATTTCTAATTTCATCTCCTACCCATAAATGTCAAAAAGTAATGCCTGTTGGGATTTCTGGGCTGCAGAGGAGCACAGAACAGTCTTTGCTTGCCTTCATTGCCAAACAAGCCTGGACTGCTCTGCGTATGCTCCATCCCATTACCTTTTACTGCAGTTTTGACAGAAGTAAACACATGCACATTTAGTTACAGACTTTCCCCTCCTTCTCCTTCCTTAATTATAGGTAAAGTCTGCAGCCTCTGAGAAAACTACTACCTCAATTACCTTAGCCCCAAACTTTAAACCAGTTATGCTAAACAGAAGAAGGAAACAGCTTGTGATCACATTTCTTTTCAAACCTGGGAAGGAATTCCAGTTTTTTTCACCCCTTTCAAACATTAGACTGCAGAGGAGTTACACAAATGGGCAATCGAAGGGTGAGCAGGTGGTGACTCCCACACGGACCAGTCCCAACACTGAATACACAGGCCATTCGACAGGCTCTGCACTACTCAGTATGGCAGACATGGAAA